TCAAACAATGTCAGAACCACAGTTTACAGCAACCACATTAAAGGAAGAGCTTCTTTAAACACACGTGCCTGAATATAAGTGTTCAGTGATTTAGGTGCACAACCTGAGCCGTTTCAAAGGACTTCAAAGTGGGCACTCAGCAATACTGAAAATGGGCATCCACCAACTCTCAAAAGAGAGCAGGCACCCAAGAAAGGTCCATTCCAACAAAGTACAGTCAATCTAATTTTTAACAACTTTTCCAAGAGCAGAAAATGACCTACATGTCACCTTCTGGACTTTCAAAATACCAACGATATAAGAAACCTGAGTGTGCAGCCCAAATGCCATAAAGCCTCTGTAGCACATGAAAGTGGGGGAGAAAATCGACTTTTCCCTCTCAAGCTAAGACTAGACCTTACTGGAATTAGTTTTTCCATCTGATCTAGAAGCAGGTCTGTATTCCAGCAAGTATGAAGTAATAACTTGTCTGTCCCATCCTACCAGAGCCACAGGAATTGTAGTGAAAGGAGGGATTTGTTCTGACCTTCACAGACAGGGTTTTTAATCCAAGAGAATTAATTCACTCTCTTGATCTGAGTACATGAAGGTATTGAACTCCAAGGCATGCTCACTATGGCACAGAACTGCTGTGAGGAGTGCCCTTGTGTCCAACTTATAATATTCCTTTGTTCCCACTCCATGTGAACTCCAGTAGAAGGGATGATAAGCTTCCAGTATGGCTTTCAGAACCCTTCGTGTCTCTAAATTTCCTACAATGTTTTTTACTGTCTCTTCTGTTTCTAATGCCCCCTTCCCCCTGATCCATTCATGCTCCTGACCTGTTGCAAACCATCAAGAACCAGTGGACTTTAACACTGCTAATGCTTTTATCTGTGCAAACCAAGACAATCAGTATCAGGCTTTCCTCCATTGACTCGGATATGCAAATTTTATGCAACTATGCAAAGGTAGTCCTGCTGAGGATCAGCTACTTCTGCTTTTTGCAAGAGAACCTGAATCCAAATTACCAGTCTGGATGCAAGTGCACCATAAGTTACTGATGTAAGGGCACATTATTCCCCCTGCAATTCAGCAGAGCCTGCTTTATAATATGCAGCATGCTCTGAAGAGCCACCACTGCTGAGCCATCTAAGAGGATTCCTGTGGTTTTAAATTTCAGGTTTTCAAATTCAGCCCAGAAATCCATCCATCAGTTTCTAAAGGCAATTTTAAAACTCCAGATGCATTCTGGCCCACAGTCATACTGTACCTCCCACCCTGGCTACACCTGCAATTTGCTATGTCCAGCTCAGCCATTTGTTTCTGAACCAGGAGCTACTCCCTGATGTACAACTGATTATTCACAAGCAGCAGTTGGATGTTAACACCAGTTAGTTACATACAGCCCTCAACTGCCCTGTGTGACTGAAATAAGTAAACACATTCTAGCAAAAACTGAAAGTAACTCCCACACTTTGGTACATTAGTGCACAAACTTTGTTATTACTTTGTTGCTTCAGCTTCTGGATGCAGCTTGGGATGCTCCCAAGACGGCTCTCAAAGTTTAAGCTTTCTGTCTCTTATCTGTGTGTGTTTTCTGTCTGAACAAACTCTGTGTTCCTGACCCATTTTCCATGTCTATTCTTTATTTATGTGTTGAAACTCAGTAAACATTATGCAAATTTCAAAGGGTATATTTACTAAGCAAGCATTTCAAAATCGGGAATTGCCTTCTGATCAGACACGTGGAACCAACCTGAGGGAAGATGAGGCAGCTTCAAAAGTACTGAACTCAACTCTGCAGCACGTGTAAATGGCCCTACACTGACTGTGTGTAACGTGCCAAAATTCCCAGGGAACCAGAAGAAATGCAGACCTCTGAGTTCCCTGTGGATACCACAATGTAACTTTCTTGTTTTAGTTTTCTCTCATTACAAGTGGAAAAGAGGCACCTGTAGAAAACTGTATTTTAAATACACAGTATGTCCTGCCAGGGTAAAGAAAGAAGGCTGCAGATCTGCTGGTATGTAGAGGTCACAATCCCTACTGTTCCCCTTCCTAGGTGTTGACTGGGCTCTGCTGTTGGTTTTTGATTACTGATAGATTGCATCACGTCCCCCAACATTTACCTGACAAGGCTGAAATCCTGTTTCTTCATATCAGCATTATCCTCTGGAATATTGCGAGCCAAGATGCCTAGTTACAAAAACAGTGCATTTTCATTTAAAAAAACAACTAAATCACCAACAAGTTTTTAATTCAACATCTCCCTTCACACTGAGCTTTTTTATCTTAACTTTTTCATTTTATTTCAGACAGCACCCTCTGCTCCTTTATTCCACTTTACAGAGTCTTTGGCTGTTCAAAGTCCAGGCTAACAGATGTTCTTCCCCCAGTGTTAAATCCTAGAGTATTCCAAACCCTGACCAGCAACCTCAACAATGTACTTTCTCAGCACTTGGCTGCTACTCTTGAAACACTGAAACCATCATCAAGGACTTCATGGAAAAGAAAGAAGGGCACCTGCCCTATGAGACAAGGGAAGCAAGACAGAATGAGCAGTGCAGGTGGCTGGGTCTAGGAACTCAGAGAAACATGAGGGTGCCAGGCTGGCACAGTGTGAGGAACAGCAGAGAGGGTTCGGGGTCACAGGAGATTGTCTCCAGCCCTCACGTACGATGGGCAACAGCTTCCACTTGAGGTACCTCAAGCACAGCAACAGGAGATGAAAGAGCAGATGGATAAATGTGCAGGCAGCCCAGCTATCAGAGATCCTCCCTGCTGAAGAGGAGTCAGAGAACATCAGAGCACACAGAAATCACCCCTAAAGCCTCCACTGTTGTGTTCCTTGTGCTGCACACCAGACCCACCCACAGGTTAAACTCTGGCCTGCAACTGACTCTGCAAAGGCATTTTTAGAGAAGCTCTGTTACTTATAGCCCCGGGAGAGAGCTCTGCTAACTGCAGAGATGCCAGCATAGCAACAAAGAGGTCATTCAGCCACCCTGCACTTCTCCACCCCATGGCTTTTCACCTCTCCTTCTGTTCCTGGAGCCAATCTGTTCTCATTACTGGGTTCTTCCACACAACCCTTAAAAAAGGCATCTGCCAACCCCTCCTTTCCACCCTCCCTGCCCTCTTTTAGACTGAAAGATGTGTTAGCAGGAACATACCAGCATGGACTGCAGGATGAAGGGTTTTCACACGCCCACCCAGCATCTCAGGGAAGCCAGTCAGGTCCGAAACATCTCTGCCCAAGAAGAAAGCAGCACAGTAACAGATGTACCACACTGACTTTATCGACAGGCTGAATGACTCAAACCAAAGAAAGTGCACAGATTTCACTACAAAACCCCACTATGTCACAGGGACAACAACTGCTTTTCCCATGAATGGAAATAGAGTTCATGGGTCACACCCTACTAAGCAGTACAGTTATTTCTTGAATACACTGGAATAACCAAAATAAGCAAACCCAAGTAAAAATGGTTTATAGAGAGAATGGAAGGCTTTTCCTCCCAGATTAGCTTCACTACTCCTTGTGACTGTTTAGGGTGGTAATAACAATGATGAGGGAAGGGGAAATGTGAGCATCCTTTGCTCCAGGCTTCACTGGCAGCATAGCCAAGGAAATAAGGTGGAGAGACACAACCAAGTGCTGGGTAACAGTGAGCTCTGGGGGTGATGTAGATTTGTGCTGGTATGTGCCAGGGGCCAACCACTGCATTCATGAGGAGCAAAAACAGAGTCACAGTCACCTGCCGTGCCAAGTAATCGACTTTTTTTTTCATCACTACACCGAAACCCATCTTTATTTGGCCAGAGCTAGTTTTTTAAATAAGAGCATGGGAGAAACTAGAATAAATTTCCCTGGAATAATGGGCTAAAACACCCAGTGACAGCACATGACCTTTTTCCAACAATGGATGCACAACACTTAAAGGCTCCATCTGCATTAAATAATTGTGCTGGGGAAATTATTTGTGACCAATGAACTCCAGCGAGCTTGAACATGTTCCTAACACATCAGTGCTGTCCCAGAGCAGGCAAAGATCAGCTTTCACCTGGCTGTGAGGAGCAGCACTCAGGGCAGATACGAACATCACGGTAACAGACTGTCCCATGGAAATACAGCTGGCTCAAGGCAGACAAGGAAGCCAAACAAAAAGCTCCAACACCTCCCCTCACAGCAATGCTTCTCAGCCAACAAAAAGCTTCTGAAGACAAAAAGGTTATGAAGTTTGCTTTGGGGCAGGGCTTTTTTTGGATTTTCTTTTAAGGGAAGACTTACTTTCAGACCAGTTTTCACTCACTTTCGTTCACAGAGAGAACAATTTAAGTAACCTCAGGGCCCAAAAGAGCCTTTTTGGTGGTGATGTACAGGGAAGTGTATGTACCTGACAGGCAAGCCAGCATCCCTGAGGGACTTGGCCGTTCCTCCGGAGGCAATTAAACCCAGCCCAAGCGCATTGAGGCTCCTCGCGAATTCCACCAGGTTGGTCTTGTCAGAGACGCTGAGTAAAGCTGGCAGGCGGGAAGAGCACGAACGTTTGGGTTTTAACAGCGGGAACAGAGGAAACGACGCGATTAAGCGAGTGAAGCTTTGATAAGTTGCGGAGTTTTAGAGTGTTTGTGATATCGGCGGAGGGGACCACTACAACCTCGCGGTTCTCCTCAGGGGAAGCCGCCCCTCAGGAGAAGCCGCTCCTCAGGCGAGGTCGCCCCTCAGGGGAAGCCGCCCCTTAGGGCTCTCATCCCGGGCCCGATCCCCTCGGAGCCTTCCCGCTCCGGGAACACGGAGCACGGGCCCGGGGGAACACAAACACGGCCTGCCCGCCCCCGGCCTCCCGCGCGGGAACCAGCGCTAAGGCGCCTTCCGGGGCCGCCCTGCCCGCTGAGGCGAAGCGGCGGCCATTGAGGGCATGGCGGCAGGGCAGCCCCCCCCAGGCGTCAGGGACACCCTCCCCGCGGCCATGGCCCGCCCCGCGTTAGCGTTACCGAGCTGCTGCCGCGCGGCCATGGCGCCGTCGGTGCGTGCAGGAGGGCGCGGAGGCAAGGCAAGGAAAGGACGAGCGGCGGCGGCCCGGCGGGATTTGGGCGCACGGGGGCGGGAGGCGGAGGGGGCGGCCCGGGCTGGGCGGGGAATGGAGCGGGGCGGCGGTGGCGGGCACGTGGATTTCGGGACACACGCGTGGCCTGGAGGATGAGGATGCCCTGGAGGGTGGGGATGCCCGGGTATTCCTGCTTTACATGTGCTCGGTACATGTGTGGGCACGGCATGGGTGCACCAAACATACAGAGACACACACACAGACACGTATGTATATATGAGTGGACGTGAACCCACACAGAGGTACATGTATGTGCACACACACACACATATACAAGATTTTCGGTGGTGTTTCAGTACACAGGTGAAAAATGAGGTGCAGATGAGGCAATACCTCATAGCAGTGGAAAGCAATGCAGTAAGGACCATTAATTTCTTCCAGGAGTACTAACAGGAGTTTCATCCATGGAAAGTCCTCTCGCAAGAGCTGCCACCCGGGCAAAACACTAATTTACCAAGTCTGAGGTAAAAAAATCATTTGCAAGCAATAAAATGATGCTTTATTTATGTTTTAATTAAGGGGAGCTCTCAGGGAGAGCTTTTCTTCCTCTGTAGGCCTCCAGATTTCCTGGTACCCCTTTGCTTGTTTTCCTGCTCCCCTGTGGTTCACAGACAACACTTGATAACGTGACAACTTGAACACGTTGGCTTTAACTGGTTAAAATCTGTGCAGTGCCCCTGTACACCCCAGCAGGGCTCAGCTGCAGCACTGGGACAGCAGTGCTTTGCAAGTAGAATGCCCTGCAGTTAATTTGCAGCACAAGCCCTGGCCCCACCTGGTAATACTGAATCAGCAATAATGTCAGCACAGGCAGGCCCCCGAGGCATCCCTGCCTACTTCTGTCAGGTTTTCATCGGCCACACAGGTGCTCACGGTACACCTGCAGCTCCCAGAGCGCTCAGAATGCATTAGGCTCCCCACTCGCATTAAAAAAAAAGGAATAAATGGAAGTTTTTAGCTCTTGCAGGCAAAAAGGTGGGAAGTGCAAGTGCAGCTGGAAGGCCCGGACACTTGGCACTTTTGATTTGTGAGTCTCTGAGCTTGGGCAGTATTGTCTGTGTGAGGAAGAGTCAAGCCAGAAATACCAAACCTACTGAATAAACCCAGTGTGTGTATTACTCTCAGTAGCAGCTAGTGACAAGCAGTAATAAATTACTGCTCAGGAGGGTGGCTGGGGCCAAATGAAAATATACTGTTAAGTGGTGCATGAGCAGTATCATTATGAAAATACACACCTTGGAGAGAATAAAAGTTGTGCAAAGTGTACAGCTGAGGTGGGCTTTGGTGATGATTAATGTATGAGCAAATGAACAATTTGACAGAGCACTGCATTTTTATCCAATGTTGGAGAGAGACTTTGTATTCCAGCAGTGTGGAATACTGTGTATTCCTGTCAGCCTGTGCACAAGGACACAGATGCTGCTGCCTTCAGACAAACAGGGGAGGGATGTTATCAGGGTCAATAATGGCGTTGGCTCTGTTGCCTGTCCAGCAGTTCGTTGTCCCTTGGCACCTGAGGTGAGGTTTCTGTTTGTGCAGGAGTGGCAGGGGGTGGTTTTGGCTTAATCCCTGCCCCAGCACAGGAAGGACATGGAGCTGTTGGAGCCAGTTCAGAGGAGGTCACCAACATGATGAGAGGGATGGAGCACCTCTGCTGTGAGGAAAGGCTAGGAGAATTGGGATTGTTCACCCTGGAGAAGAGAAGGCTTTGGGGTGACCGAATTGTAGCCTGAAGGAGCTCACAAGAGACATGGAGAGAGACTCTTTGAAGGGCCCTGAGGTGACTGGACAACAGGAGATGGGGTCGGACTAAAAGAGAGCAGGGTTAGATCGGATACTGGGAAAAAAATTCTTCCTTGTGAGGGTGGTGATGCCCTGGCACAGGGTGCCCAGAGAAGCTGTGGCTGCCCCTGGATCCCTGGAAGTGTCCAAGGCCAGGTTGGACAGAGCTTGGAGCGACCTGGGATAGTGGGAGGTGTCCCTGTTCATGGCAGGGGTTTGGAACAGGATGATCATAAGGTCCTTTCCAACCCAAACCATTCTGTGATTCTGCATCTGAGAAGGGACATCTGGCTGTGTGCTAGAGGAGTGTCTGGATTTGGATGTGATTGATATGTCCTGGTTTGGGGATGGTTTTTGCAGGGAAATTAGACAGTGTGCCTCCCCAGAGACTTAGTTTTGCTTTATAGAGCTTAATTTTAATTGGCTTTGGTGATGTTTAAAGGATATTCAAATATCTTGTGCTCTGCTCATGTCCCATCATTTATTCAATAGGAATGAGGTCTCCTTGGAGCTTTTTCCTGGTGTTTGAAAGCGTTACAGAGCTCGTCCTGAGCCAAGAATGCAGTAACATCATATTGGAAATAATGGGAAGAGGTAAATGCTAGAATTACAAATACCACATTAAGGTTATTTCTAAATCATACTAGGGCCTACATCCAAGAAAGAAAAATCAGGCTTAATAAGCACTGTGCTCTGCTGTGTTAATAAGGAGAAGTAAAAAGAGGAAGAAGCTGAATAGAGGCATACAAAAGGTATGGTGTTGCTGGTGTTAGGACAATACCCTAGATTCCCTTCTCTTTAGGCTGTAGGGAGCAAGAGATGCTTTTCATCTTAGCTCTGAGTCTCTGCTGTGAGTCTGTTTTCTATTGTTGCGGTTTTTTTCACCCAGCAGACCAAGAAGAGTGTAGAAAAACAGGTCAGTTTGGCTGTTGATTAATTCGTTAGGGTAGGAAGCAAACAATGTAGGATTCTCCAACTACCTGGAGCTGCCTGTGGGCTAGCAGAGGGTGGACAGGGAAGACCCAACCAAAAAATAGGAGTCCATTCAAAGTGGATGTCCATGGCTGGCCTCGTTTGGGCTTTCAGAGATGAAGTGTCACAAGTGGTGAGCATTACACCAGTGGTCTGATCTGGGTCTGTCTTACCCCAAGAAAGGAAGTCTCATAATCACCAGGCTGCTTTGGAAAGATGTCATTGTGGGCATCTCTGCCTGTATAAACACAGTCCTCAGCTTTGAAAGGTCCCATCATACCAAGCTTATCTTCCTTAAGCAGGCCCTGCTTTCATTTACATCCCTCCCCACACCTTTCCTCAACAGCCCCTTGCCTCTGCTGTGCTCTGTGTATGCCCTCAAGCAAAGATTGTGGTATTCAGCATGATGTAAGACAAATACATCTCAGTCCTACTCAAACTCCTGTTTTCTTCCCTGGCAGTTATTTAAGTGGGAAGCAAAGAAGTATATTGTTGTGATATATGCTATCTCCCTTGAGGATGCTGTTTGCCAGGCACTGGGCCTCAGTTCTTCCAGTCTCCCAAGGACCTGTGCCTTGCAAGCACTTATCTGTGCCCCTTACTCAGTATTATGGGATTGCCTACCACAAAAGTCTCCTGGAGGCTTCAAGTGCCCTGTCTCAGATGCTGCACAACAGTAGAGGTGAGAGTGGAATTGAATCCAGGCTGCTTCTCAAGGGTTACTGCTATATGCAGGCTTCTGGTTTGTCTGCCTTTTGCTCTCAGGGTTCATGAAAACTGCAGGGTAAAATCTTCTTGGTGTATTCCAGGAGAATAAAAAGCTGCTAAGTGTTGCTCTGTTGAACCTTGCTCAAGAGCTGCATCACACTGTCTGTGCCACTCACTATGAGTTAACTGTGGGGTAGCTTCAGCACTGAGCTGATGAACAGGCTGGCCAGGAGTGTTCCACAATAACAGAGAGGCTCAAGAGCCCTGATGCATTTTGAGAGGTTTTTTTCAGCCCTTATCAGCTTGGAGCAGCTTTTGTTTTACTGTGTTCCTCGGAGGTCCCAGTTAAATCACATCCATGGCGTGCCTGCTGTCAGCTGTCACTGTAAATCCCTGCTCAGGGTCCCATGGAGCTGCTGAGGTGACAGTGAGCCTTTAGCTGAAGTTCAGAGACACCAAAGAGCCCTGCACATTCAATTTGACCTGGGGTGTGAAGGTTACATCCCCTTTTCACTCACCAACACCAGTGGTCGGTTTTCCCAAACCTGTGATATCAATGTCTAATGCTTTTCCTGCAAAAGAACCAATTTCCTTGTAATAGAATAAATATTGCAGATTTCAGCCTGAGTTATTCTCCTAATGCTCTGGGTTATGAATGAGACCCAAAGGTGCATAAACTGAAGGACGATTTATTTTCTGAATGCTCCCATTCCTTTCCTCCCAGAGGCTGGTTCCTATCGAAGCATAGAAGGAAAAATATTACCAAAAAAGTAAGAAATAGTTTCTCTTGTTGGCGACTCAGTGCCTATTCTGTGATCTGAACCCCACATGTAGGCTGTGCCTGAACAGGTGTTTGCAATTGCAAATATGGAGTGTACAGTAAAAAATCATAATTCTATCCACTTTGAGGTTCCTTGCCTTGTCAGGCTATTTGTGTGAAAGGAAGAATTCCCAGAGAAAAGGAGAAAATATTTTGTTTGGGTATTTTTGGTGTAGGTGCAAAGAAACAACTTTATCCACAAATAACAGGCTGCTTTACTTTTTCACAGCACCATGGGATCCCAGAATGGTTTGGAAGGGACCTCAAAGCTCATCTCATCCCACCCCCTGCTATGGGCCGGGACACCTTCCACTATCCCAGCTTGCTCCAAGCCCCCTCCTGCAGACCTTGAACACTTCCAGGGATCCAGGGGCAGCCACAGCTTCTGTGGGAAATTGAAATCACGGATTCATCGGTGTCTCGCTTTGCCCCCAGCTCTTTGGACACCAGTGTTTGTGTCCCTGGGTGAGAGGGACAGCTGTCCTGCCGGGATCCCGCCGGGATGCTGCCAAATGCGCAGGGAAGCGGCTCCCACTAGAGCGCGCTAGGACAGCTGAAATGGAGCTGGTTTTCTGCTGCCATCAGGGTGGAACCAGCAGAGATGCCTCTGTAAGGAACGGCACTTTGGTTTTTCAGCAGGGATGCTGGCTAAGTTCCCC